TATATATATATATATATATATATATATATACATAGTCTTTCTTACAAGACGTTTATTTATATGAAGTCAATAATAGTAAAATTTAATAGAATAATAAAGTGATAAAATTCAACAGTGTTGAAAATCGTAATTGGCTTTAATGTAAGTGTAAGAAAATATTTGTGAATTTAGAAAGCATGGTAACTCGAATGCAAGGAAGCGAATAAAATCATATTCCAATCGTTTTCGATTAAATTATAACACGAAACACGTGCAACGTTCGATTATGTTACTTATGTATATGATAAATGTGATAAAATATTAAACTGGAAAATTATTCTAATTGAATATTATTAACTCTAGATATTATTTCTTAACTTTACAATTTATAAATTTGAATTTGATTAATTCGAAAACACATTACATTTACGTAAGAAAATACAATGGAGAAAGTATATATCCTATTGCAGATAGATGCAACGTTTGCAAAAAATTATCAAAATTATGATACGTAACAAAATTCAGTATTACTCGAAGCGGAAATGTAAAACTTATTTACCCTCGGTCGACAAAAATCATTTGCTCGGATAAAATACGCCGTAACTTTCACTTCGCATATTTAGACACGTAATTTGAATATTTTATCCTTATAAAATTCTTTCTTAAACGGATAAGAAAGAATTCCGTAGCTGTATCGAATATTCGAAATAATAAACGAAAGATTCCCGGATCTCTAAATTTAAATTTTATTGCGATAAAGAAAGGAAAGAAATAGCGGAGGAAATTAATCGCGGACAAAATTTTCCCTCCCAACAACCTCTGCGGAAAACCTCGCGATTCCACGCTTCTTTCTTCTCCTCGAAGATACAATGAATCCGCTATGCAAGTACATTCTTCGATACACCGTATAATCACCTTTCTTCTGCACTCCGTCAAGCACAGTGGCAGCCAACACAGTGGCTATTGACTATATGCAACCGGTTTTGCGTTTGGCCCACATTGCTATGCCGCGATAGAACTTTCGAGATATCGCGTCCCAGAAGTACGTGCTCTTTTCGTATCAAACACGGATTTCCTCGTATCTCCTCATCTCGTGATAAATACTTCCGGGAATACTTGTAAACAAATTTCTTCTTCTTAACTCGACTATCCCCTCGTATTACAATTATTTCGACAATTCTTTATTACACGTTTATTAATACGTTGTTCATCGAAACTGAACAAAAATAGATATTCGACGATCAAAACCGATCCGACGATTGAGAAACGAAAGAAAAAAGAAAAAGAAAACAAAGTCGATGTGCGTGATAATTTTATCGAAAGGATCGCGTGCACCAACGTGATCCAAACAGGAGGATCGTAATCCCTAGGTTTCGTGTCAATCGCGTGAAAACATCGGTTATGAAAAGACCGAGAGAGCACATCCGGCAAAGAAAAACGGCGCGGCTCGCAAATTGCGGTATCGTCTGAATCCAGGCTGCGTTGGTGGAGGATTGTGCAACCGGTGGTCTCTGGTTGCCATAGAGGTGCACGATCCATCTCTGCGTGGTGCATCCACCGTGACCCCGGTTCACGCGCGTGCACCCGTGTCGTTTCGTAGATAACGCCCATATTCACCTGTCTTCGATTGCGTACACGTATTCTGTATTCTTTGACCGATTCCAACCGATCCGTAAATAAATTGGCGATCTTTCACGTTCCACGTTTGTCCGGCAAAAATGTTGCATTTACATCTTTTTCCAATTTTAATGAAATAATTTCGTCCACGTGAACGTACAGTGTAGTTGCAGCGATCGTTTTGCTTTTTAAAAACTAAAATATTGTTTGTAGAGTATGTTTACGCAGTTTAACGCTCTAGATGACGCGATTCTTCCACTGTTTCCTTTCCTGATTTCTGACGTTCGCTGCGCGAGCCTGAAAGTGAAGTGCCGTGTGTTCCGTCCTCGTAATTAAAATTTATAGCTATTAGTATCTAAGAATTGAAGCTATATATATATATGTATATGGCTACCGTTGGTCTTTTTTAATTTATGTTATGCCATTGTTTGTTTTTCGAAATTTTTCTTTCCTTTTTTCCTTTTATTTAAAAATATTCCGGAATTTTGCTCGAATCAATTCGATGGTTACGATCAAATCGATTACGAAATATTTTCTCGTATCACGCAAACTCTTAATAAAATCAAATCGTATCATTTTTAATCGCGCGGATTCTTGTTATACGCGATTTGCGTATTTCTTGCTCGACATTCGTAACCGGAACGAATGCTTTTCACCGATCGACACGTGTTAAGTAGTGCATACATTTCTCCACGTAAGAATCCACTTTTCCGATCTTGCGAACCGACTCTGTAATTTCTAAAAACGTCATATAGGAATTCGAACGTGCACACACTTTTCTGTCGTTCATCGTTTATTATACGGTTCAGTTAATTAGCTTGTTAGCTGGGCATCCAACGGATATGGAGAAATACAGTGGATCCATCTTCTTGTAACTCGCTCGCCATCGATGCTTATACGATTAATCATCTTTGAACACTATATAATTCAGAGATATCGTTCGTATCAAATTTTTAATCTTATTATCTAATCGATTTGGACGAATATCGATGAAAAAAAAGAAAGAAAAATTTAGAGATTTTCGAGTCGCTTTTAAATACACGAGTCGTATTGGAAATTAATTTTATTTTACGATCGACGATCCGGACGATTTTGTTAGATCCTTCTCAGGAGGAGAGAAGAGATCGTAAAAATAAATACTATTCTTAGTCGAAGGATACGGCATTAAACTAAGGGGAATAAAAGAAACACGATGTTCCACGCCTACGCGAATTGTGGAAAAAACATTTAGAGTCACACTCTAAATATAGCGATCGTTTCGATTATCTCTCCTGGCGTGCGATGATTCCTCGATCCTGATCCGGGGTCCCCCGCACGATCTAAACCGTACGTTGCAAAATTTCCTTGCTCCGGGCTCCCCTTCGCTACGGTTTCGCGCCATCGCCATCGAGATATGGCCTTCGAAAAGAGATTTTAAAAAAGGAGGGGAGGGGGGAGAGTTTCGAAATCGTGGTTTAGATGCAATCCGTTTCGAGAGCGACGCGGTTGGGAGGAAAGGAAACGAATCGATACGG